TATATATATATATATATATATATATTATTTTTCAGAGGTATAGTTACTAAAGCAGAAATAAAATTTAAAGAATTACTGATATATATGATGACTCGCCCATCTTAACCTCGATTCTCTGTCAAGGTCATCAGAAACACACTGGAGGAAAATGTTTTCCAACCTCCAGCCTGCCTTCTTGAGGATTGGAATGATAATTTTTCTGGTGTTGGTCCTGACAAGTTACTGTTCTCAATAGTTATTATTACTCGTTTTATATCTTTTATAATCAATTCATTAGATGTTAACTACACTTAACATCCGTTTCTTCTATACCATCATAATTAAATCCAAAATTTGAGTTGTTTTTTTTTGGGGGGGGACCAGATCCCCTTATAGTAAGGGAAATAGAAATACAAGTGTACGTCAACCAAAGTGGTACTATTAAGCTTCTTACTGATCATCACTTACCATTGGGCAAGCTTTTTCCATTTGCTTCGAGGATGAGCTGTTCTGCTTCCAACTTGGTTTCACCGTAGCCATCCATCAAGAACGTGCCAGAAGTGGAAGTTGTAATTTCTGTACCATAGAAGATATGGTCCTTACCTACGACAACATCCACCGTGCTTGTGAAGACCAGCCTGGGAACACTGTTTTTGATGCAGGCACTGATCACCTTGCGTGTTCCTAATAATAAAGCCACATGAGTAAACGGTGAAAAAAAAAAAAGTCCACATCCAAGATTTTGGAGCAAAATAATTTACCTTTCTACTCACCATAACATTTGTTTCTACACACGACATTTAATGAATTAAGGAAAATTTACGTATGTGTGTGTGTGTGTGTATAATCTATGAAAATGTTAGAATGATACATGCAGGATGGGGCAAATGTAAATATATAGTTTTATTTTAAGATGTGCCCACTTGATTATCAAATGTACATAAAATTTTTTAATTGCTGTGAATAAGTGTATTTCATTTAGAATAGTTTAATTTCTAATGCCTTATTCTGACAGGAAATAATTTAATTGGTTTCAACTGTTTTAGTATTATTTTTAATGCTAACTGTAGAACAACTTTTACTCCGCCTTGTGTATTAAAATACAGGCATCAATAGTTTAATCCTCACCACAAACGTGTTTGCTTATAAACCCTTATTAATCAATTCCTAAAAAAAAAAACACTTTCATTTAAACTACAGGTTAACAACCATGCTTAGAAACCTCTGACCTGATACTCTGTTTCACATAATAATATAATCACAGCTGTTTTCATTCCTGCAACTCTTTGACCAGAGGCTTCTTCACAAGAACAAGGAGCCTTTAGTAAGAGTTCTAGTTAAAATAAAATGGAGAAGTGTGTTGGTACACACTGTCAAAGAATGGGTATGAGAATAAGTAACACCTGCTGGATACTTGTGTATCCTTCGCATTACCGTGCTCTCAGAATATCCAGGAGCCTGATGTGAATCTTATTCTTTGACGAGATGCCCATTTACAAAGCATCATTTTATATTAGGAAACATGAATTAATATTTATGGAGATTTCTGCCAAAAAAAAAAACAACAACAACATTTTTACTACATTGTGGTCCATTTCCAACAAAACATTTACCTTCAACATTTACAGAGTGCATCTTGTCCTTGTCGGGAAACAGTCCAACACTGATGACTGCGGCAGTATGGATGACACAGTCCACCCCAATACAAGCATCTTCTATGTCCTCAGCATTACATACATCACCTTGAATTACTTTCATTGGCTTAAGTTCTTCATGACCTTAAAGAAGAAAAAACAAATTCCTTTCATATTTTCTCTTAATTTCAGATAACCATCATCCAATACCAAGTAGTCCAGTAATAGCATCAATTAACTTATTCCAATTTTCACAGAATATCATGTCTGCCATTTTGGAAGTTTAATTGCACCGAGTCTTAAACTGTTCATAAAACAACTTCCATACTTAAGTCATTCAATAGTTTATCTAATATCACTTTATTGTTATGCCATTTCACCAAAAGTTCGGTCAATAAAGTCTCACCTAGTTATTTCTGTGACACTAAGTAATCGTGTCAATCAACCCTATCTAAAGCGTTACTACGAAAAACCATCTAATTACTATGAATAATATGAACAGTTTTATATCAAGTTATCTGCATTACATATCGATTTACCTTATATATATATATAAACAAATATTCAAATCGTGGTTCTGTTATAACCAAAAGTTCAAGCAGGTTAACAAAAAAAAATACACAACGTGCTTTCTCTTACTCAGAATATAAGAGTAGCATCATATGATAATATTATCACTGTCACGTGGTTAGTGCTTCTTTTAGGTCACTTAACTGTAAGGAGTTACAAAATGTAGGATGTCGACATCATTATGTCAGTATTTTATTGCACTTTTAATCTGTAAAGTTACATATGGGCATTAGATACTTCAAAATCCTAATCTACATATTATTGTACATTCTTCTTTAATTTCACTCAAGTTCTTAGAATTACAGTTTGATATTTGTACAAGTTTAAAACTTAAGAAATAAATATGATCTTTTGAATTAAAGTTTCATGTTGAATAATTAACAATAAGGCCCAAGTAAACAAAATACATGTTTAACGTTCACGCCCACTTCAAGCGAGTTTTTCGTCATCATGAACTCCACTTTGACATTGTCAGCGTCACTGGCCATGACGGCCTAAGCACAAAAACGTTGAGATTATAAATTAACAATCCGTTTTTTATTTTTCATTTTGTCAATCTAACACAGCAAGAAAATTTAATTGTAAAGCTTTACAATTGCATAAAATTACCTTATTAAGGCATTTATTGCGTGTTTTTACAAAGATTTAACTCAAAATAGGTACATACACCTAATATTGTCACTGAGGCTCGCGATTTCTGCGTGTGGCAACGAACAGTGAAAGACTTTTATTTTATTTTGTAAAATAAAGTGAAACAGTCAATTTAAAAGGTATAATAGTAAATTTAGTGTTTTGTCGCATAGGAAAGAAAGAGAAATACACACTTTCTTTCCACATAGAAACAAGTATATAACGTTTGTTTACAAGTTCACAACCTCAAGACTTTGGTGCTTCGGCATTGACGCTTAATATCAATATAATGTTACGTCTCCGTTTGTTAATTGATTTTTCCGTAACTTTGTTCCGACGAAACTTTAACGACAC